GTCATGGTTCATGATGGCCGCCTCACCCACGCAGACAAAGACTTGGCACAGACCGAAGGGCTGGTTCACCGAGCGCGAGGAGGTCATCATGGTCAACCGCATCCTGCGCGATGACCCAAGCAAAGGCGATATGCACAATCGGCAGGCCGTCGACCTGAAGCTGCTGTGGAAATCGATTACCGACTTTGACCTTTGGCCGGTGTATATTATTGGACTGATGTTCCAGATCCCGCATGGCCCGCCAGATCAGTACCTCACACTGAACCTGCGGCAGCTCGGGTTTGACACGTTCGACTCGAACCTGTTGAGTATCCCGTCGCAAGCAGCTGGGGCTGTCACGGTATTGCTTCTCATGCTGCCCTTAGTATGCCTTTACTGACCTGGGTTCTGACAGATGCTCATCTTCACCTATTTCTCCGAAGTGTTCAGCCAGAGAGCGTTCATGGGAATGCTTGCACAGTTCTGGCTGTTCCCAAACGTTGTTGCACTAGCCGCTATCCCCAACAACACACCGGGCTGGGCTCGATATGCAATCCTGACAACATTGCTCGCATACCCCTCGCGTGAGTGTAGCTTGAGACGCCACCGCCTACTTTAGAGCTGCCACCTCCAATCGTGAGATCTCAGGCCTTACCACTGACCTCCGTATTTATCAGCGCACGCCATGCAGGTTGCGTGGGTTAGCCGCAACTCCAACGCTGTTCGAGCACGCACCGTCTCGGCTGCGCTGTACAAGTTGGTCTTCCCTTGTTGGCAAGATTAACCACGTCCTCTGACCCCGCTTCCGCTCTCCAGTATGTTCGTGCAGGTCTCGGGCATCATCTATGCCAACGTCTACCGCGAAGACGACAAGCCAAATTGTGAGATACCCGTCGCACTCCGTTACTCGCTCCTAGTGGCCATTCGAGTGCTAACTTCTAGTACAAAAGACCGCCGTGGCAATCGAGAAATCGCCATCGTTTGCGGTGCCAACATTGTGCTCTATGGGCTGGTCAAGACGTACTACATGTGGCGCAACAAGACGCGTGAGGCCGAGTGGTCTACCATGAGCAGAGAGGTAAGTTGTGGTATTTCAGCTTATAGCTTATCATGTTGCTGGTCACCCGCGGTTCACTCGCTTACTAGACCGCCGTTATCTACAGGAACAACTGCACTACCTCGAGACTACCAAGGACAGCGGTAGCAAGAGAAAAGATTTCCGGTTCGTACATTAGAGAGTGTTACCATATGGTCAAACCAGGGAGTCAAGACATGCACAGTCTATGCTACGCACGGAGGGAACGATGGCACGTTATCCACACATAGTCCCTGGACGGGCAGTTTAATCGTGCACGATATACAGAACTAGTAGCAGTATAGAGGAGGTCACGAGAACTCGCTATTCATTAGATGTACAAGAGGCATGAGCCCTCAGCTCAGGAATGAAATCCCACGACAACACGCAGTTATTCATGGAGAAGAAGAGGGCTGCCACGTCTTTGTACGACACGTAACGACAAGCTAACCTTTGCAGGTTGGATCGAGGGGAGTTAGGGTCCTTTGGGGATCTTTCCTTTTAGCGATCGTGGTCTCGTTAGCATCCTATGTACATGATCTCGATGTTCAATGCTGGGAAAATCCTAGTCGTAGCTCAAACCATGGCCGAACCGGAACACAGGATTTTTGGTGTCAAAGGGCACATCCTCCATGGCCTCCTCGACGGCCTTCTGGCTGCGCGGCAGGTCGAACGGCAGCTTGCCCTCAGGCTTGCTGACACCAAACACCACATCCAAAAACGCCTCGGGACCACTGCCGTAATCTCCCAGCACAGCAGTTGCACCCTCGAAGACCTCAGGGATCGCGACGGCACGGTTGAACGTGATGTCAACGACCGTGGGGACGGCAGCGTAGATCTTGGCCTGGCGGGCCTTCTCCTTGTCGGTGAATTCTAGGCTGCCTGAAGCGTACGCCGACTCGAAACCCCCCGGGCGCGGATACGAGGGCGCAGTGATGCGGAGGAGCGCAAGATCGGCCTCCTCAGGTGTCTTAACGACGGTGAGCCCGCGTTTCTCCATGTATGTCTGGTTGAAGCCCTCGATGTAGAACTTGACGTTTTCTGTCTCCCTGACGGGGAGGACGGCGTTCTTGTTGGTCAGGAGCGTGTACGAGCGGCGCTGCGTGTCGGCGCCGAGCTTGACGAATGCCTCCTGGCCCACGATGCTGTTGGCTTTCGCGACGTCGACGTACGGGCTGTCAAACAGGCCCTGCACGAACTTCTCCTTGAGGACCTTGCGCACCGAGACATCGATACGGTCTTCTGAAACGTGGCCCTTGTCCATCAGCTCGATGACAATCTCGACGCGATGCTCGCCACCGAGCTGATCGCACCCTGCCTCGAAGACTTTTATGGCGCGCTCGATCTCGGTGGCATCCTCGAGTCCCCACGCACGGGCGGGCATGTCCTGGCCGCGGATCACGGCGTCGGTGATGAGTCCCCAGTCTGTAAGTACGATACCCTCAAAGCCGAGCTGCTCCCGCAGTAGGCCGGTGATGATAGGCTTGTTGAAGCCGAATGCGAGCGGGGGGTAACCCAGGTTCTCGAGGCCGGTGGGCCGCGAGTACGCGGGCATCATCTGCCGTGTGCCCGCGGCGACGGCGGCCTTGAAGGGGATGAGGTGGTATTCGAACTGGCCGCCGGGGTACGTGTTGTTCTTGCCGTAGGTGAAGTGCGAGTCCTCCCCGTCCTCGGCCGGGCCGCCACCAGGGAAGTGCTTGGTGACGGTCGTGATGCTCTGGTGGCCAAACGTCTTGTCCTCGTCGCCCTCGGACGTCATGCCGCCGAGCTGCATACCTTTCACGTACTCGGCGATGAGGTCAGCCGTGAGTCGGGCGTCCTCGCCCCAGGTGCCTGCCGTGCGCGCCCAGCGGTACTCGGTGACTACGTCAACCTGTGGGTGCAGCGCTGCCTTGAAGCCGACGGCAAGATACTCCTGACGGACGACATCACCAAACTTGCGGACGAGGGCAGGGTCGCGGAGCGCTGCAAGCCCCAGTGTCTCGGGCCACTGCGAGAAGCTGCCCGCCTGGAAGCCCGTGCCGATGTTCTCGGTGAAGGCGTGCCGGGGGTCGGTCGAGAGGGTGATGGGGATACCGAGGCGGGTGTTTTCGACGGCGAGCCTCTGGAGCGAATTGACAAACTCGGCAGTCTCGGTGGCATTCTTGACGTTGCCGACGAGGTTGAAGTGCGTCATCTTCTTGTCCACGACCATGTCCCATGTCGTGTTGCGCGTGGTGTCGCCGCCGGTGCTGTTGAAGGGGCCTGGGAACAGCATGTGGTGGTACAGCTGGCCGGCTTTCTCCTCGCGCGTCATGCGGCGCACGAGGTCGTCCACCCGCTCATCGACCGAGTAGGACGGGTCCTTGTAGATGGGCTTGGGTCTGCCGCAGCCGCGGCCGTGGGGACCAGAAGACGCCATGCTGCCAGTGCCGCCTGGAGTGGGAGAGGCCGCGGTGGTGGTCGCCAGGAGGCAGACCACGAGGGTTGCCACGGCCCGGAGGGGAAATCCGAGGAGCATTGTGAGTACTTCCGTTAGTGTCTGTGACTGATGCGACGAGGGCTTGGGGCTGGAAGGGCATACTCTCGGCAGGCAGGAGACACAGGTTTCCTGGTGCGAGACGCATCATTATATACCTGTATTGCAGCATGTCGATAACTCAGACGGGCCAAGAAGCATCAGGCACCGGACAAGCCCCGAGCACAAGTGCCGAAGCACTCTCTTGCATGGAGGTGAACCGTTGCGGGCCTACGAGTGCCAAGCTCACGGTATTCAGGCCGTCTCCGAGCCCCCACAGGTTGTGACATCAGTATACTCGTCTCATGGCATGCCATCGGCATCGCCAGCCAACGTATGCAGGTCATTGACCATGCTGGGCCTGGGAGCATGAGATCTGCCGTTATATTGCCGACGTTTAGGCTGAGACGATGAAGGGCCGTGCGCACTCCCCGCGGCCCCAATACCCGGTTCTTCTCCTGCCAGATGCTTGATCGTGGGGAAAAGGCGGAGGCCCCCAGAGATGGGCCCCAGCAGTTCGTGGCCCACATTCGGTCCGACCTCGAGTAGTCGGGGCTTGGCAAGATCCGCGGGTGGCTGCAACAAGCTCGTCGGGTGGCTGTGACCCCATGACTCCGCGTGGGAAATTTCCCTTCGTCCCAGGAGGGACCCGGCAGTCTAGAGAAAATGCTGGCTAGAGAGTGGGAACGTGGAGCCGATGGAGTATAGTTGGAGAATCCCTGCCATGCTGCGTCGGCAGGAGGCGTATTGGAGCCGAGCATGGATCGGCGTGGTCACGAGCTCGTGAGGATGGGCTGAGGCGCTGAGTCGAGTCGTAGGCCGCAGATTCTTCGGTCTGTTCAACGAGGAGACAGCGAGTCATGACTCCCAGAAGCGACGAGGAGCCCACCAGGGTTAGATGTCGGCCGAAGAGAGGCTCTGCTTTGGCATTTCTGACAAACCTTGCTCGCTTCTGGATGTGACCATGCGACAGGACACTTGATCCTGTGGTGACCTGGCGATTCCCGAGGCCTGGGGAAAGCCTGGCCGCACCGTTCATACACTCGGACTACTAGGACGGAGCCGAGCTTTTATCCCGTCACCCACGGTGGAGCATTTACTAAATCGAGTGCCTGGCCTCTCCAGAAGCAAGGACGAAACGTCACGATTGCGTTCCGGAACTAATACAGATGCTGCCGAGGTACGCAGCAAAGATTAAATATAGAAAGTTAGAGACTCGGCTGGAGGTGGGTCCGGGACAGCCACCTGCGGAGATTGCGAGCATACATAAGGACAGGGAGGAGGACCAGTGACAAGCGATATGGAGCGGCCAAGCACAATTTTGTCATCTATAAGACAAAGAAAAAAAGAAAAGCAACAAAGGCATAGCTTTGGATCGAGTTGACACAGAGATCGCTGGAAGTGCAAAAAGAAGAATACCACCAGTAGCAGATGTTTTCAAGGATTGAATGTCCTCGGTGAGGCTCGAACTCACGACCTTTGGATGTCCCAACCTGAGATTGAGTCACAGACTATATGAGACCAACGCTCTAACCAACTGAGCCACGAAGACAATTGGTGGATTTGTGTTATAATAGCAGGTGCGGTTATCATGATATATATTGGCGTTTTGTTCATGGGGCTGTCCACTACACCCACGGCGATGAGATATCAGAAAATAGCTCAAAGAAAGGCTTCTCTCCTGTACAAACCATACTCGGATCAAACGCACCGTGTCATGTCAGAATCAAATATTTCAAGAGAAGGACTGTGCGGGGACGCTGCAACGCAATATCCAGGAATGCGTTCATAACATATACACCCTGCAGAGACGTGCCTAGCATCTCTGATTATCAGGCTTCCGCGCCGCGCTGGCGGGGAGTCAGCTTGACGTACATGGCCGGCTTGTCCCAGAGCTGGAATGTCTTCAGGTCTGCGAGCCATTCCCGACTGCGGTTCTCGAGCGCCATGTCAAAGTTGAAGAGCATGCGGGCCAGGATGGTGCGCATCTCGGCGTAGGCCAGGCTGAGCGAGGGGAAGGCTGGTTAGCACGTTGTTGTTACCTTGGCACTCTCATACTTGGCAAATGACTTACTTCTTCCCGATGCAGTCTCGAGGCCCGTGTGAAAAGGGTTGGAAGATTTCCCTGTGGTCATTCGCAAACTCGGGGTCGCCTAGCCACCGCTCCGGGCAGAACTCGTCTGGCTTAGCGAAGTTGCCCGGGTAGTGGTAGGCAGGCCACTGGTGGATGCCGAGTGCCACCTACAAAGATGATATACCGTAATGTCAGCGAATCCCGAGGAGTCACACTACTTATACCTGTAGGTAGCAAAAAGAGAAAGCACTTACACCTCCCGGAATGTAGGTCCCAAACAATTGCGTGCCCTCGGCCGGCACTGTCCGCGCAAGGGCGCTAGGAACAGCTGGGAACAGGCGCATTGTCTCGTCGAGGACGGCCAGCATATACTTGAGCGCCTGCACACTAGTGAAATCGATGTCGGCTTCGCGCGTGAAGTGGTCATCAACCTCGGCCCGCACCTTGGCCATGATAGCCGGGTGCTTGCACAGGAGGTGAGTAACAAAGGACAGCACGGTCGCCGTCGTCTCGGACCCGGCGAGGATGAGCACATCGGCAGTCTGGGTAATTTGCTTCTTCGTCAGGGAGTCGCCCTTGGGCCGGTTGGCCATCGAGTCAATGAAATCGGGCCGCTGCGTGCCTGCAGCGAGCCGCTTGTCGACCTTGGCACGCGCGAAGCCCTCGTGCTCGAGCGTTAGGCGCAGGCCCGGAGGATAGAGCGTCATGAGCAGGCTGTCAATGTCGCCAAAAATTTTGCGCAAGGAGATCAGAGCGTTGCCTTCTCTCAGTCTCTGGAAGATGGTTGCGACCCAGTGATGCATCCCTGACTGCTCGAGGCAACCAAAGGGCTCTCCGAAAGCGAGATCCCCAATGATATCAAAAGTGGTGTAGTTGTACCACGCGACGATGTCGACGGCCTCGCCCTGGCTCGCCCGCGCGCGCATGCGGTCAAAGAACAGATCAATATGCTTCGCGATCAGTGGCTGCTGCTCCACCATACGCTTCGCTGAGAACCCGTGGCTCACCACGCGGCGGATGTGTCCATGAGTCTCGCGAGGCGCCGAGATGATGGCATCCGGTATACGCCCATAGACTCGCCAGTCTTTGCCGTTCTCCGTCTGCCCGTTCCTGCGGTGGCCTTGGACTGCCTTCCACGCCTCGGGCTGCACAAAGGACAGCTCGGTTGGTGAAACGCGGACGATGTCGCCAAATTTCTTGTGCAGCGCTAGGATGTCCTTGTGGTGGTTACCACTGGTATTGCTGAGGGCAAGAGGGATCTGGGAAATGGCCCAGAGCTTCGGTCCAGGGTATTGACGCAGCGGATGGAAGAAGAGGTAGTAGATGGGGCGACCGACGGCGTAATAGGCTACAGAGAATGCCGCAGCGAATAAGGCGACAGCTCGGCCGAGCTCGGCGGGCGACTGCTCCGCAACAAGGGAAGGCATGATTCCGTTTGGCTCCTGTCGATTGGTTGAGGGCTTGGAGGTTTTGAATCTGTTTGGATTAGAAGCACGAGTTCGTGTTCAGCAGCAGGAACTAGCTCTTATATACGACAATCACATCTCCAGGTTACTGACTCTGTATGGCTATATTACGGAGTATCAGAGCGGCAATGCTCAAGTCTCGGGCTGCTGCCAATGTCCGAGGGTCTACGTGATGCCGTGCTTGAGTTCTGGGCACGTTGATCCCAAGCACGAAGGAACGTTGACCCACAGGACAGAACCTGGCCGGCACTGCGGAGCTACGGAGTATGTTGAAGGTTCATCCAAAACAGGACAGAACCCTGCGCGTAGATACGCACATACGAAAGCGAGAACGAAGTGATGTACAAGGACAGGGCCACTTGGGTCATGATGCCACAGGTGCGAGCTATGTCAGGCCCTCTCCTGAGATCTGTAACCTGGGACCGGCCTCACAGCATCGTGATTCCATGGGAGATCAACAAGCATGGGCGAGGTAAATGGGTAATTTGTCATCATGTTGCTCCAGACACGCTGCATTTAGAGACGAGGGGGTGGTGACTACCCTGTTTGCGTACCGGTATCTCAGGCAGTCCCCTCATGACTTCTCGCCGTCACTGCCACGCAATGGCTTCCCGTGCCGGGACGGACCGGGAGTGGTCGCTAGCAGGGTGCCACGTCAGCCACTTCCGCACGCCAAGATATCAGTGCCGCGAAGACTCTCTTGTCATCCTAGCAAGGCTGCTCCTTGCGAGTAGTGACTCGCAGCTCTGGGTGGAGCTGCTGCCGCACGACCGACCTTTTTGCTCATATGCGACACCGCACTGATGTTTCGTGTTATGCAGCTATCATCTACAATCGCCTGCATGTGCCAGGGTTCATGTTGGAGCTAGTTGTGATCGAAGATGGCACAGCAATTCAGCAGGGGTCGCCGTCCACTTCTCCGAAGAAGGGACGCATCCCCCACCCTCATGGCTGACATGGCTAAGTGATCTCTCGATTCCCTACCCACATCCTGCTATCTGCCAGAATTCGTTTCAGACTCGCTTCCTCGTCTCCAGAATGCTTCATTTGCCTCGAGTTCCCTGCTGTCTTCAAAGCGGCACACAGATGACGTCAAGAGTCCCTCAAGTAACCACTTCCAACTACTGGAAACTGGCATTGCACACGTTGTCCAACGCAGCTCTCACAAACTGAGTAGCCGCGCACCGTTTGCCGATGTTGATAGAGGTCCAAATGTCCAGACAGGGCTGTGCGGAGTCGATCCCCAAGCACCCACCGGTACTTTCGTAGCCTGCCGAAGAAAGCAGACATTTCTGGCGATTTTTTGGCAAGAGAGGCCGACTTCTTCCTGAACCTTATCTCAACACAGTAGGACTACGTGGTAATATCGAACCAGGCCCGTTTGTCTCTCGCGTCTGAATCTCTGCACCAGCTCTTATACTAAGTGCTGTCCAGCACCTTGCACCACTCACAGATTTGGTTCCCACCGCGAAAGGACCGTAAACTCTTCGGTCAGGAAATGTAGAGCTTATTAATCGGAACATCTAGGGTATTACAAAAACAATATTACCGCCCCGTCATCCCCCTATCTAGTCCAGCGCCTGCGCCTCGCACATCTTTCTGTACATGCCGCCCAGCTCCACGAGCTCCCGGTGGCTGCCCATCTCGACAATCTTGCCGTGATAGAAGACGCAGATGACGTCGGCGTCCTTGATCGTGCTGAGCCGGTGCGCTACCGCGACCGTGATCCGCCCCGTCTGCCCTTCGCCCTTGGCGGCCTCGGCCAGCGCGGCCTGGACGATCTTTTCCGACTCGGTGTCCAGAGCGCTCGTCGCCTCGTCGAGCAGCAGGACGCGCGGGTCGCGGATCAGCGCGCGCGCAATGGCGATGCGCTGCCGCTGCCCGCCAGAGAGCTGCGACCCGGAGTTGCCCGCGGGCGTGGCCAGGCCATCGGGCAGCGACGAGACAAAGTCCCAGGCGTTGGCAGCGCGGAGGGCAGTCTCGATCTCTGCGTCGGTGACCTCGACAACCTGAGACTGCTTCTCGGTTGCTGTGGTGTCGACGGCAGCGGAAGCGGAAGCAGTCCTGTCCACGCCCAGCGATATGTTGTCCCGGATGCTGCCCGGGAACAGTGTCGGCTCCTGCTGCACGAGCGCGACCTGTCGGCGGTACAGCCGCGGGTTGACATCTGTCAGGCTGGTTCCTTCTGTCCCCTGCTCACCGCCGTCACCGAGCCGGATCACGCCCGTCGTAGGATCATAGAACCGCTCCAGCATCGCAATCATGGTCGACTTGCCGCATCCGCTGGCACCGACAAGCGCGACAAATTGGCCCTTGCCGACATCGAGGTCCACGCCCCTGAGGACCTGCGCGTCCGGTCGCATTGGGTATGAGAACCGCACCTTGTCCAGCTGGATGCCAGACACGTCAACGGGAGTGCCAGGCATGCCCTTCTCTGTGATCGTGGGTTGCAGCGCCCTGAGCCAGTTCATGTAGTTGGCCGCGTTGACGCCCTTGGTCACGCTCGTCGAGAACATGAACAGCTGTGCAGAGGCTTGCGCGGCGTAGAAGACGGCCAGGAACGCGACGAAGAACTCGGTCATCGTAATGGTGCCGTCGGAGAGGAGCTGGCAGCCATACCAGTACCCCAGGCCCATGAACCAGTACTCGAGGCACTGCGTCAGGCCGAAGCAGACCATGAGCAGCAGCGTCGGCCGGAAGGACTTCGCCACCGCGGCGTCGAGCTCCGCCACGTACTGCGCCAGCACGGACTCCTCGATGGCGAGGGAGCTGACGGTACGAATCGCGTTGATTGCTTCCGACGCGATGGCAGCCGAAGCGCCGTAGCGCTGCGAGTTGTCCCTGTCGAGCTTCGCGTCGAGACGGATCTTGAAGAAACCGGCCAACATCAAAGGGGGAATGCCCGCGCCGATGATGCATAGGCCAAGCCGCCACGAGTACGCGATGGCGAGGATGCTGCAGATGGCGAGCTGCAGGACCGCCACGAAAATCAGAGAGACGTTGTAGCCCATG